AAATCTTCTATGAGTTCCAGTAGTTTTCTTGTGGGTTCTTTGGGGTTTTCTGTGTATAAGATCATATCATCTGCAAATAGAGATACTTTGACTTCTTGCCTACCAATTTGGATGCCCTTTATTTCTTTTTCTAGCCTAATTGCACTGGCTAGGACCTCCAGCACAATGTTGAATAAGAGTGATGATAAAGGGCATCCTCGTCTGGTTCCTATTGTCAAGGGGCATGCTTTCAAAGTCTCTCCATTTAGGATAATGTTGGCTTTGGCTTTGTATAAATGCACTTAATTATCTTGAGGAATTTCCCTTCTATTCCTATTTTGTTGAGAGTTTTTATCATGAATGGGTGTTGGACTTTGTCAAATGCCTTTTCTGCATTGATTGATAAGATCATGTAGTTCATGTCTTTTGTTTTATTTATGTGATGGGTTACATTGATTGTTTTTCTAATGTTGAACCATCCCTGCATACCTGGTATAAATCCCACTTGATCATGGTGAATTACTTATTGTTGCTATTTTAAAAGATAGCTTTCATAAAGTTTTAAAAGTATTATCTTAGGTGTGTTTCCTAGGACTTCAGAAGGTTATTTACCACTTTTGGCTCTGATTTTAGGAAACTCTGATCCACCTGGTAGCCCTCCAACATCTTTAAAGTGGATATAATAATTTTATTTTTAAGAGGCTTTTAAGTATTCTGATTAACATTCATTTTATTAAAATGTTCATTGGAATTTAAGATACTATGGACTTTCTGTACTATAAATCTTGTGGGTAGGATAACTTAACCTGGGGTGAATTGGTAATTTGCACAGTGAATTTAATAACTTTATACTATTTTGGATGTGGGAAAGGTTTGACATATTTAAGATCTTAGGACTTGCCTGTTTTGTAAAAGTTGCCTTAGCCCAGTTGTGGGAGTTCAGAATAATTAATAACATGTATTTTATGTCTTGTATGGAGTCCCATGGATGAGAACTTGAGCTAGTACTAGCCTTATTTAAGCAAAAGTGGAACAGTCTACATTCGTTCCTCCTATTTCCTTTTGAAAGAAGAAAATCTGTTAAGTCTTAAGGATATCAAAACCTGTCAATAATTCTCAATTTTCAGTCAATGAAGTATCCAGAATATCAGATCAATTCCAGATGATCTGTTGTATTAAACAATAACAACAACAAAACAATGACGACAGCAGCAACAAAAAAATAGGAAAGGTACAAAGCCACAAAAGATAAAGACAGCTGGGAATTAGAACCTAGTACAGTAAGAAGCAATAAACTAGAATGTATAGGTTAAGGAGGACTAAAAGAAGAATTCTTGATATATAGGCTTGTTTTTAGCCATCTTTAAATAAATATGGAATTGTTTGAGGTTATTTTGAAAACGGAGTCTGTTGAGGTTCCTATTTGTTTTTATCTATTAGTGGTTCTCAGAGGTAAACTGGACACACACAAGTTTGGACAGCTCTATTCTGATGATGACAGCAATATCTGCAAAATTATGCAAATGTTTTGAGAAAGAGGGTTACATGTTTTCATTAACAGAAGAGGTTTATGTTCAGTAGAGCACAAAGACTTCTATAAAGATTTGCCAAAAGTGTTTTATTTTGAATGAGGCACTTATTCACATATTTTATATTACCTATGCAGACTTCTATCTAATGTTTTCTTGTTAAATAATATTTTGATTTTGCAATGTCAAGTTGAATAATTTCCTTCTTGTATTTCATAAGAAATATTTCTGAAAATACTAGTAATTCGGATTTTATATGTTACAAGAACGATTTACTGTCTATATTCTCTGGTAGGGTAGAAACTCCACGAGGGCAGATATATTGTATTGTCCATTATGGTACCCAAGTCCCTCACCCAGGGCCTGGCACCTTGTATGTTCCAAATATAGTAAGTTGAATTAATTAATTTGGGGTCAGCCTTAAACTTATTTGAGTGTTTTTATATTTATTGAAATTATTTTATTAATAAAAATGAAAGTGCGATAAATCTGAATTTATAGAATTTAAATAAAAGACAAGCTATGTGAGAGTTAAGATAGCACAGGGATAGAATCACATTAGGGGATGAACTTGCTTACCTTTGCACCCCTGGTTCTGGGACAGTGCCTGGCACACAGCAGGACTCAGTACATATGTGGTGAATGAGACGGACTGACTGGCGGATAGTAAGCATGAAGGAATGAAAATGTATTAGGAAAATCATAGAAATAAGCATTTAGTTGAGTAAGAAAAATGTGTACAATATGTGAGTACATTTGATGAGTATTTCAGATATATTGCTATGAGATATGTGGAAAAGATTCAGCTCAGACTATAGCCTAGACCTGATATTCTTCTTAAATAAAGAAGTTTTTTAGACATTACAACTCTTGTTTAAAAAATGATATTAAAAATTCATATAATCTAACCTTAACTTGAATATATTAAAAGCCTCTAAAATTAAATTTGAGTTTTACATATGGAATAATTTTAAATATCTGTAATGTGGTGCTGTACTAGAACTGTGCATTTAATAAATTTAGTTTTAAGCATTCTGAAATACTTATATTGTTGTTTAAGTTTCAATGAACTCTATGAATATATACATATATATTTTTAATTTAGTGCCCCAATGCCATACCTGATTGGAATACACTCCAGCCTCATAGAGGTGAGTATCTTTCAGACATGAGATAGCAATAAATAAACTTATAAAAATAATAGTTAAAAGTTTTGTTTTGAATGAAAATAAATGGGAATAGTACAAAGCAATGACTAGTCTCATATTTATAGTATATTACATGGTTATTTTGAAAAAGGTAATATTGAAATAATTTTATTTAAATTAGCATGCTAAATGGCAAGCTTCAGTGACATGGAAACTCATGAAAATAGGTTGTATTTGGTAGAAGTCATATGGTAAGTGTTAAATACTAAAAGACTAGTCCTTGATGAACCACTTTCTTTATGGTAACTTGGGATTTTTTATATTTCTTTCTCAGACCTATATTTTGAAAGTCAAATTTTAGATAATTATGAATCATAAAAGGAAAACATTTTCAGCCCTTTTGGGAGATTGAAAGTTTAGTAACTTATTTGCACTGTCAGCATCTCATTCTGAATGATTTTTGTCACCAGTCATCACTGTAGTGAAACACCTTGGCCTTTGTCAGTGAGACTTCTTATAAGATCAGCATCTTTAAACAACATAAACAAAAGGTTTGGATCAAGACAAAACACTTTTGTCAATTGAGTGTCCTCATTACGGTGGTGGATTTCAGTTTTTATTGGAACTCATTTGTTTTTGAGCTGGTCATGCATATTATCTTTCCCCCAATGTCTGATAAGCGACAATTCAACCCAAATAACTCATTTTTACACTTATTTGAGTGTTTTTATATTTATTGAAATTATTTTATCAAGAAAAATAAAATGTTTTCTTATTTTTATATTTCTTAACTTTGTCACTGTATACACTGTAAGTCCTCATTTTAAATGATCAAGGAAAATCCTGGTGATTATTTTAAAACTCCTGAGGACCATGTAGGGAGAGACTTCTTTTATAGAAGGCCTGGATTATGGAATTCTGCATGTGCTCTGCTCTGTTTTGGGCTTTTTTTTCAGTTTTGAGCATGTTTTATTTTTGCAAAATGCTTAGGTAGAAATTTTTGTACATTTTACTAGTAATAAAGGGTATGTCTTAATGGATTTCTTTAGTAGGTTTGATTTGTTTTTAATATTGAAATCTGAGTTGGAGAACATTATTGACTCCTTATATTTTATTCATCTTTAGAAAACTTGTTCTTACATGCCAGGGTATTTTCAGTGAAAAAACAAATTATCTAAAAGAAAACATAAATGAATAGGCATTTAATCTGTTATTAGATTGTGGAATAAATGACTGGCATTTTATTTATCAGTAGTTTGACTCTACAAAATCTAACCATGATTGGTTGTTATGGTTTCAGAAGAAGCGTTATCAAATTTGATCTTGATGTTAGTGTGTGCGTGTGTGTGTGTATATATATATATATGTATGTATGTATATGCGGGAGAAAGATGTAGCAGTCTGCTTGCATAAAGATTGTCAGCCTTGGAAACCCTATGGGGCAGTTCTACTCTGTCCTATAGGGTGGCTATGAGTCGGAATCGACTCGACTGCAAAACCAAAAAACCAAACCTGTTCCTGTCAAGTCAGTTCCGACTCATAGTGACCCTATAGGACAGAATAGAACTACCCCCATAGAGTTTCCAAGGAGCAGCTGGTGGATTAAAACTGCCAACCTTTTGGTTAGCAGCCGAGCTCTTTAACCACTGCGTCACCAGGGCCCCAACTCAACTGCAGTGATATATATGTGTGTGTGTGTTATACATTTATGTCTCTCCTTATGTGTCTGATAAACCCAAAAAACCCATTGCCTTTGAGTCATCCAGATTTATAGTGACCCGATAGGACAGAGTAGAACTGCCCCATAGGGTTTCCAAGGAGCGCCTGCTGGATTCGAACTGCTGACCTTTTGGTTAGCAGCTGTAGCTCTTAACCACTATGCCACCAGGGTATCCATGTGTCTAATAGGATATGTAATTTCTTCAATATATTTATTTATTTATAGGGATAAAAAAATAAATGTTGTTGATGGGTACCTGTAATAGTGATGTTATTATGTTTTGTTTTTGCGTCATGATTTGACTTTTAAAACGAATAATTTGACTTTTCCAAAATACTGTAGAAAGGGGTACATGTTTTTAATATTTAATTAAATTTATCACATATTTTTTGGAACCTATAGAGAAAGTTGTACTTTTTTAAGGGGCAAATTAAAGTGTTGTCTTGGAGAAAGGTCCATTCTAACTTTAAATTGGGTCCTATCATTAAGAGAGAATGTTTAAATTTCAGTACTTCTGTAATTGTGTCCTAGACTTTCTGTCTTAATAGCTTTATTTAGTATAATAGCTAATGAAAAGGTGTACTAGGAACTTTAGACATTCTTTTAAACCAGTTGAGTACTATTTGGTAACGTTCTCTTTAATCTGTTACAAGATGATATATATCCTGCAATTCCATTCTTAGAGTATCATCATTAGGCAGATTTTTTTTTCCACTAAAATTTCTATCTTTTGTGCTTTTGTACTTAATAAAAATGTTTCTATAATTGAAGTATAGATATTTACATAATAGTGAGACTGAGCTTGAGTAATAGTTTTTGCATTTTGCTTGACTGCAATGACAACCAATTTTTATTTTTTAAAGGAAGAATCAAAATATTCTCTTATTTTCTCCCTTTTGGTCAAAATAGTTTCAACACATTTTATCAATTGTATAAAGAATTCTAAACCTAATTTTTCAAAGATACATGAAGTGAACGTCCTTTGAAATCTTTTTTTAAATCACATTTTTATGTAATTGTGAGTAAAAGATGGCTGGAAGACCCTTTTAAAATATAAATTTGCTTCTAAAATAAAGGATGAAGACATATTGTTCTCTCTGAAAAATAGTCTTTAGGTTTGAACTCAGAGCAGACTAAGGCCTGTAAGTGATGAGGAATAATTTAGTAGATGCTACAAATATTTATTTATCTTGCTACAAATGTGAGAATTATCTTACTTAATCAATATACAAAAGATTCTAAATGAAATGTCCTAATTTCAGAAGATCATATGATTGTTGCCCTTGTGTCATTTCTTTGCAGAATGTGCATAATACACATTTGTATTTATATTGTATGGAAGACTTATATAGAGAGTGTGTGAGAAAACACTATAAACTTTAATCAGCTGCTGTTGCTCTTATGGAGTCCCTGGATACTGCAAATGGTTAATGTGTTCCCTGCTAATCTAAAGGTTAGCAGTTTGAGTCCACTTAGAGGCACCTCAGAAGGAAGGCCTGGCAATCTACTTTTGAAAAATCAGCCATGGAAAACTCTATGGAGCATAGTTCTACTCTGACACACCTGGGGCCTTCTGAGTCTGGATCAAGAGGAAGGCAACTGATTTTTTTGGTTCTTATAAGCATTTCAATCTGTGTCTTAGTATTAGTGTCATGTTTTTGAAGAAGACAGCAAATTCTTTTTTCATATTTTCTTATTCTTTCCCCATTCAAACAAGATTATGAATTTTATGAGCTATGAAAATATGAGACAGAGAAAGAGGTACCATTTTATATGCCATATGAGTTTCCATTCTTATTTAGGAAAAAAAAAAAAAGCTAAAGCCTGACACCGAAGACAAAAAATAGGTAAAATACTGACACTAATCTAAAATTTTCTTTAACAATTATTTTAATTATATACTGTTATTATTTTTTTGCTTCTGTAGACTTAGTCTTACTTTAAGGAAGTCCTAATTTACTGATTTATTGAAATGAATACTTTTTCCATTCTTATTGTATGGCTAGTTGAACTAAATTTAATATTCAGCTATTAGACTTTTAAAACTAAGAGTAATTTTGAAATATACACCTTTCATCTCAATGCCAATTTCCTTTATTTAGACCTTAGTGTTAGGGTCAGTATAAAACATTTTGGGGGCATATAGCCATTATTCTAGGCTTAGGCTAACTTACCCTTTTAAAATTCATCAGAATTATCTTTACAGTTTCTGTCATAAGAACAATTTAGAATTAAAGGTGAATAACAAGATTATGACTTACATTTTTCCATGCAAATTCCATTTATATAGCTATAGTTTTTGCTTGTATAATAGGTTATTTTTATAATTATTTTTAGTTAATTTTTAGCTAACCATATATTTATGTATGTAAACTTTTTACATGTATGTATATCACATGCATATACATGGAAAGAGAAGGAAATGAGTGTATTTAGAAATGTTTTTGTAATAGTATCGCCATTATAAGTGATTCTCTGCTAATATCTTAGGAATGGAGCATCTTTTAAAAGTCTTACTTTAGAATAATTATAATGTCTTTTACAAGATATATTTTAGAATCATATATTCCCCTGAGTATCCACACTGCACCTAGGCTGTGAGACTTCCCTAATACATAGACATACCCTGCACTAGACTCCCATTTCCCTAGCAAAGTTTAACATTCCGTCTACTATGCAGAGATTTGAAATTCTGAATGGATCAGAGAAATTTCAGTTTTGAAATAATTGATTAGGCCAATTTAAAAATGTAAGGTATTTAACAGATTATTTTTAAAAAGTGTATTATTTGAGAATGTCACTTTAAAAAAATACAGCACTGAAATTAATTGACCCATTGCTAGTTGACCTCTACAATTGTGGAATTCTGAGTTGCTGGATATATTTCATTAATGAGCATGTTACTTATTTGTGCTAAGCAGTAATACTATTTGCTGTCATTTAAATAAGACTATTAGAATTTTATAACTATAAAATTTAAGTTTACATATTGGTTTAAATAGGAAAAATAAAATAATTCCTTTATTTAAGGATAAGAAAATGATGAAATTCTAATTTAGTTTCATTTATCTACATACTCGAATAATTTGACCATTTTGACCAAACTGTAAAACAAGTCAAAATAGTTAATCCAGTAGGCTATAAATTTGATCCTTTATATTGAAATTCTTGTGAGACATGTTACTGACAATAAATTCCATATTACTCTATCATTTTTCATTTTTCAACTTTTATTCTTCATCATAAGCTTATACATATTGGTATGGAAAATATAGAAAAAGTATTAATTTGAAAACTTTGCAGCTTAATAATGTAGTCATAGAGCTACTGGTTTATGTGAGACTTGCAATATGATTTATGCTAAAAATAGATATAGAGCTAGATACAAATTCTCGTATCTTGGGATTGAAATTTGCCTGATAAATCTTTAAGGACAGAAGTTTTTGCAGTTTTGCTTTAGCTGTGTCTGTTTTGTAAGTCTTTGTTGTAATATTTTCTTGATTAAATTATATTCATCTATCTCCAAATTAAGTATGTTTAAATGAGCAAACATTCTATTTTAAGCATCTTTTCCCAAATCATCTTTTTGAACTGGTTGTAGTCACACTTCCTCGCAGAGAAGGTAAAGTTGTTTATATTTATTTTATAAGGTAGGATTTTCCTGTTTTCTTTTTCCATGACTAGTGTATTAAGGTAATTTTCTCTGTTTCCAACTTATTATAGTTTATTAAGAAAATATACTAAGATGCTTATTCACAATTGTGTTTTTTAAACAGAGAGTGAAAAACAAATCATTGGAAGATGTGGTTATGTTAAATGTTGACACAAACACTTTAGAATCACCGTTTAATGACTTGAGCAACCTACCGAGTGATGTGGTGAGTCTGAAGGACATTTTGTAGTGAACAATATATATGTTTTCTACTGGACCCTTGAATTTCTGGGAGTTATTTTTTCTACTTTTTCTGTCTAAAATAAAAGGATTGGGTGTGTGCATGGGGTGTGAGAGGAATCAGTGTAGATTCTGTATTTAATATTTTTACCTTTTGGCAGTTGAGGAGATGTTGAATGGAACATCATATTCCTTATTGTAAAAGTAGGATCATAATTAAAAAGCTAGATGCATTCATTAGGCAGAGCTTCTTTAAACGTAAGTCTCTTCATCTCATCTTAATCATTATATTACAAAGTAGGCATTTCTGTCTGCCTAGTGGCATGTCTTGCAAAAGAATGAGAGAGTTTTTGAAGGCAAGAAGAAGAAGGGGGCCAATTATCGGCTTTTGCTTCCCTGCCACCTGCCAGCGCTTTTCCTTTTAATTAATGATCTGATGGCACTGGTCAATATAATAAGAAATGCTTGTACAGTTGGGGTCAGAAAATTCTGGCTTTGATCTCCCTCAACTTTCTGAAACATTTATTTGTTTTCTGTAAATTATTTCAGTTTTATTTTAATCTTTTCTATCCTGCTGAGGGCCGCAAGAATGAAAACCTACAGTTTGTCATTTGCTTTGGCAGAGCAAACACTGCTTACTTAGAATTCTATTTGTAAATTAAACTGCAAACCCAGTTTGTCATAAAAGACATCTGATCCTTTTGAAATGACGAAAACTGTCTTTTGTCTGTAAAGGCTGATAAATTAAGTGCCAGTTCTCTTCTGGTCTTTGATCTTGCAGAGGGTTTGTGTGTATGTGTGTGTGTGCGTGTGTGTGTCTGCAGCTTATAATGGCACATATTCTGTATTTCATGTTAAATAGTCTTCAAAAGTGCTTTTTTTTTGGCCTTGGTATTCCTTAGTACAGGGCAGAAATGCAGACTAGTGCTGTTTCTGTATATATTTGAATGGCTATTTAAAAATATCTTTATAATATAGTTCTAAGTTAAAATAACGTTCCTTAAAAAAATTCCCATTCTTTTCAAGGATATTAAAATTTGGGAGTAAAAAAACCCCACAGAATATATTCTTTGTAATATTGCAAGTATTTTGAAATCCATTATTAAGGAGTTTAAATAAGTGAATTTAAACATATCAAACTAAAAAAATGTATGAATACTAACCTTGATTGTTCCTATAGGCTAGTGATAGGAAAAATATGATTTCAAAGTCAAAATAGATAATTTATGTCCATAAATAGCCTAAAATACTTGCTGACCTTATAGCAAATTAAAATTGAACTACTTTATTTTGCTGTAGTAAAATTTATACTATGTACACACAAATCCAAGCTCAGGCCGGTGAACAATTATATTATCTTTTTAGCTCATTATGACTAGATTGCCTCATTATAAAAATTTTGCAGAAGCTGCTAGAAATGATTAGAGTTATTCATTTAGAAGTCCATCAAAGTGTTCTCCACTGGATATAGAAATAATTAGTGAAAATACAGTCCCAACTTTTAAGAATGCATTCCATATGTGCATGTATTTTCTACTGTTAATACCCGAAGGAAGAACGCTTGTTTATTTAAAAAAAAAAAAAAGAAGAAGGAAAAAAGAGAGAGAGAAAAGAAAATGAAAGAGAAAGAAATTCAGCGTTTAGGTTTATGGTATTACAATTTTTATAGTCAGCTTAATGATAGATGATTCTTTGAGAAAAACAATATTTTATATTTTATTGTTTGGTTAGGTGACTTTTTTTAAATTGAGAAGTGCTACTTTCCCACTAGAATTAGTTTGATAATTAAAACATTTATTTAGCTATCCGGAAAAGGAAACAGTACTCAAAAAATATAAAAGTCTAAGTATATAAAATGACAGGGAGAAGCATCCTTTGGTTTACTCATAAGAAGCAGAATTAATCATTATTAAGTATTAAAAAGTATAGATTGAAAGAACATTGCAAAGTGGTATATATATGACGATACATATGCTTGATATTAAGAGCCACAAACTTACTGACAAATCTGAAGAATGAACAAATCGAGATAGCTCTGAAGTGAAGCGAGGACCATTTGCTGAAAGTGTGAGATGCTTTAAAGTTATAGTCATTTTCTAAAAATATTTTAAGTGGTTGTGTAAGACATTCCAAAAGCTAGCTCATAGTTCTGGAGGAAATATGATAAAGCATCACATCATGTTTTCTGCAATTGTAAATGTTTTAAATGAGACATGTTAAAGTCACCAATGATCTTACTAAAAAATTTTTTGTGCGATTTGAATTAATAAAGTATAATTGAAGCCTGAAAATTCTGCTATTGGTATTGTCTGATTGTTTAATAGATTAACTGAGATTTAAATGGGGGCCTTTTAAAATCATTCACCAAAGCATTTAAATTATACTTACAGGCTAGATGACTTTCTATACATGTGCACTCTATTATTGTGTCAGATTGACCAGTGGTCTTGGCTGTTCAAAGGTCAGTGGTCACAGTTGTCCTGAATTACTAGTTCTTTTTTCCTGTGGACCCTCTGCTGTGTTGCATGCTGTAATCTTCTTAATGGCTTCATTCCAATATTCACACATAATATTTTAGATTTATTGACTGTTAGAAATACTACCATGCCAGTAGCAGTTCCGCTACTCTTAAGGTATTTAAAATTGGAAAAATAAATCAGGGCAAAGCTTTCAGGAATCCTTTGTTTTCCTTAAGGGAGGGGAAAAAAACTCTCTTCCTGTCTTCTGACAGGAACACTGTTTTTTGATTTCATCATTTCGCTATAGACTTGTATCATGAAAAGAAAAAAACACACAAATATTTTATTGTGCCTGAATTTAACAATATTGATTATTACATGGAATAACTTTTAAAGGCAACAGAGCCAGTAAAATATACTTTTGTAGTTTTTGTCTATGGATATATTGTGATTTTATTTTTTTCAAGGCTATGTCAGATGGATACCTTCAAATGTATGTAATTTGAGTATGTGAAGTAAAAAAGTAAATTTTAGAGCTATATATAACAAAATCATTTGAAGTTATTGTGGTATGTTTATAAGTGTGGGGGAAAAATCAGTTGAAGTAGGCATTTGAAATTTCAAATGAGTTCATTTTAATTTAAGAAAACTCACTTTTGAGACCTCACATTCTAAATATACATACAAATTTAGTTTCAATAACATAATAATTTAAAATGTTGTATTTCTGAGTGATTACTGCTTATTTAAATTTTTTATTAACATTTTAAAAAGTAATTTGGAGAGTTATTACATATTTCAAAAATAATAAACAGGACAACACACTTATTGGAAAATTAAGCTAATAATTAGAATTTTAATAAGATTTAAGAAATTTGTCCTCATATGAATATTAAGACAATTATGAACCAACTCTTATAGGTAAACTCCAGTTAGAATTGACATTTGAAAAAGTTACATGCAGGAGAATATTTATTAAAATAAAAAAGTGAATTTTAATATAGATTGCTTAACTGTTTTAAAATATGTTTTACTCATAGATGGTAAAAAAATAACATACTCTTAAGACAGGTCAATATTCTAGTTCCTATTTTAGATAAGAAAATGAAGCCACAGAAAGTACACCATTAATGTTGTATCTGGAGCTTTAGTTCTTCATAAAGATTGATTTCTCAGGCCTGTGCCCTGAACACTAGACCATGATTCCTCTTATATAAAGATGATATACAATGGAATGAGTAATGCTTTTAAAATTTTACTATAGTAGCTTAGTCTCCATTCTGATTTTATTAAAGAAATAGCAACATGACCAATTTGATTTAAATTAGGATTTTCAGCACTGTTTTTAAACTAATTTTCACCTTGTATGTAATACCATTGGAAAATGATTTTCCATTTCCCACTACGAGTTTGTATTGAAAATATAGTGCACTTAAGAGTTATTGTACAATTCACTGTAGACCACAGTATGTTATAGGATGAAGCATATTTAATTACTAAAGCATTGAAAAGACTCATTATAAAATGATCTCACCTAAAATACCATTCATGTGATGGTGAAGCTTTCAAGTATCTCAGGAAGGAATAGGTTAATGGTTTTATTGTCATATGAAAAGAGAACACACACACTGCTCTGAATCACCAACAATCATTAAAATCCTAAAGAGCTAGAGAACACCCCAGAACTCTAAGAATTTTGGACATGTACCTTTAAGTGAGTTAATTAATTTGAGAATAAGTTTGGAAAAGGGAAGGCTTTTTCAGAGACTTTTTATATCAGCTTTTTTTTAAAAATAAAGTGTATAAACAAAAAATAACTATGCAAATAGTCAATATATGTTTCATTTATTGAATTTTTTTTCTAATTCAACATGAAGGTTTAACATGTTCAATTGTCATAATGTATGTTATAAAGAAAAAAGAGGCCCCAGAGGATATTATATTAGTTCCACGTTTGCCACAGCTCTGCTGTAATCCTTATCGTGTGAGTGAACTCAACAGATTTCGACAATGGCCAGATTAGAAAGATAAGACAATTTTATTCATCTTCTAAAGTAATTTGGGGAACATTTGGTTTAGTTCATAGGGCAGACTTCAGGAGACAAACGTTGCTGCTTTCAGTGTGCCTCTGCAGAAGTACAGTCGTGTATTCTCGCTCTCTGTCTCTCCCAGCTGTTAGAATGCAGGCATCTAGTTGGTGAGCATTGCCCCTGCCCTGGTGCAGTGCTTTGTAAATAGTAGGCATTCAATAAATGATTGTTGAAAACAAATATAATTGCACTTCTTTTATCTTCTGTAATAGAATTTGTTTTTAAAGTCCTTGTTTACTGTTACCTCCTGGAACATTTTATAAGGACGTTTTCACCTGACTCTCATAATAATGAAAGAAAGAAACCTGGAAACATGTTTAAAATATGCTCGTCTGGCTTTGAGTGCAACCTTTTATTCCCTGGCTCTGGCAGAGGAGAGCATGTTGTGATGGCAATCATCGTGTTTCTGCACATGAGTCTGGGTGTCTGTGGAAACT